AGCAGCTCTATTTTTTTTTTTTTTTTTTCCCCTCTTCCTTCCCCAAACTTGCAGCGCGGGGTCCCTGGCACTCTCTGCCAAGTTCTACCGCCTCTGAAGGTTGCGCTGGAGATCCCGGAAGCGGAGCGGTCAAGGTTCCGCAGCCTTGCCTACGTTTTCCCGGGTTTACTAAACTGGAAATAAAGAACTTCCTCTCCGAATAGAAGAGTGTTTGCCTTCTTGGTGTCGCTGTGTCTTGGCATTCATCTGGAGGTGTCGCGCACTCGCACCTGCGTGCCCCCTCCTCCAAAACTAAGTCCTTCAGAGTTTGGAGGCCTGTAGAAAATTGGAGGGCTTTGCTATAGGTGCTGGTTGGAGGGAATTTTGAAGGCACTTGGAGCACCTTTCCTGCCCCCCCCCACCCCCCATTTGTACTGGACCCTAGCTTCCTTGGTTTGTAGTCATCTGAGTTTCGCGTGGTAAATATATATCTATATATCTATATATGTGTTTTTTAATCCATATTCAATTCACTTTCCTTAGGCCATTTTTTCAGTCCTCTAAGGAATTGAAGAGGAAATTACCTGGGTGCACTTTTTTTATTGGATATAAATGTTCTTTTATTACCACAATTTAATCAGTGCACTATTTGCTTTTTATGCTTTTTAAAATAGTTACAACTATGGCTTTAAAATATTTTAGTCCATAATAGTTTCACTGGTTGCTGTTTTTCATCATGCAGGATTTTATTGTTCTAACATTTATTAAACACTCGTAACGTGCTAGAAACTCTACATATTAGGGCCAGTCGCTGCCTCTCAAGACTGTTAAATATTTCAAGAAATAAATACCGTGAAAGTTACCCAACAGACTGGCTGCCTATGACCCAAACTAAAGAGCTAGAAAGTAATAAATAATTGCATCTATAACCTTCCATCCCACTGTTCAGCACTCTGTATCATTCTCCAACAGGTTTGGAGCATGATGCTTCTGTTAACTTTGTCACTGTTGGTAACTGACGGTTTTTAAATTGAGACTTTAAAAACATTATAGTATTCCACAGTCACTAAAACCACACCATTGATAAATAAAAAATCAATTTTATTGAAGCCTTACCTTGTTACAGCTAGTTATAGAAATTCTATACTTCAACTAAATATAGCTATTCTGCATCATTTGCATAGTCTATGACTTTTTTTCGGTTGTAAAAAATCTGTTAGACTTTTAACCAACAATTCTTTACCAAAGGGAAAAACCCTTTCTCGTCACTCATGTCAACGTGAATTTCTGAGTACCTACTTGATTAGTGTTGTCTTCACCTAGTCTGTGTTGCTGCTTGTCATGTGGCTACAAGAGTCACAGCTGTGAGACTCTCAAAGATTTATAGAATCATGCTGCAGTTCTGCAGTCCTCTTATTATAGTACCTGGCCCTGTCATCCTAACTCCTCTGGACCTATTCTATTGCTGCTACTACACTCTAGGCTACAATTACCTCCTTTCTCCTTCTCTCTTGGCATGCTGTGCTTTTGTGCATTGCATTACGCTGTTCTGGCTCCATTTCCTCCTTGCTGTGCTCTGCATCTGCTCTTAGGAAGATGGAAACAAATATTTATTAACCTCCTACTAAGTTACAAACACTAGACTGAGAGTTTCCCACAGGATCTCCCTGTCTTCCAAGGCCCTCTGTTCAAACTGTCTGCCCAGACTAACTTCCAGAGGGGCATCTCTGTCTTCCACTCTCCCAGCATGTCTTTGAGCATGTTTGTAGTGTTTAATCAGATCTGCCTTTATCAAAGTTACTTACAGGAAGTGTTGCTGTGAATGAGTTTTTGTATCAATCAAGGGTTTTATCCTAGGCAGCTCAGAGCTAATAGATCTGTTCTGTCAATCACTCTGAGCCCTGAAAGCTTCTGACTGGTAATAGTTCTGTGGATCAGGATCAGGAATATACAGGGGCAAGGCTTAAAATACAAATGACCAAATGGGCTGAGTGAGGACTGTGGCATATTTGTTGTCTATTCTACCTAAAGGGAGGTATCTGCTACTCATCCCTAGCTGATTGTTGCCATGGAATAAAGACAATTGACTTGTGCTAGACTTAATTTTTTTAAAAGCCGCAAGTCCTGATTATGCCACATCTCTCAAATTTAACTGCTAGCCATTCACTTAAGCTTTTCTTCTTCTTTTTTTTCTTTTTCCCTTCAAACACAGCATGGACTCTTGCACCTTTCTCTGTACATAATAGTTACCTGCTCACAATGTAAACCATTTACAGCATGACTCCTGCCATCCCTGGTAAGTTTATCTCTCTCGAATGTAATTGTTTTACTTAGTAGCTCCAGGCTGGTGGGACAATCTGGCTGAGCCATCTGTCAGTCCACTAAGCCAGGGTAGGTTTGGCTGACCTAGCTGCCAGGGTGAACCCTTTCTTGCCCTGCTGCTTGCCATTCCACTTATGTCCCCTAGACCAATCTCCTAAGAGGATGACCCACTACAGTATCCTGCGGGGAGTTCATGCTATTCTTAGGCCACTAGAGGCTACATGTTTACTACACAAATAAATAATGTACGGTTTTCTCTTGCTTCCTCCCCCTGTATATCTGCCTGTTTTACATTAGAATTAAAACATGTGGTGGGAAAAGTTTGTGTTTCTTATCAACATACTTTAAATGAAATCACTCGAACACTTTCTAGTCTTTCTAGAGTGAAGAGTCTCATTTTCAGTCACCCTACATTTCTCATTGTACGCTTACGTTTGCAAAGACTAAAAAGTAAGTAGGCATTTTAAAAATATATATGTTTAGACAAAGTGATGAGGACACAATATATTTTTTCATGGAAACTTAGATTGCATTTAATTTTCAAACTATATCATATTTGTTTTTCTGTTGGAAAGAGTAAAATGAGCTCTTTGGAAATCATGGGAAAAAAAGGATTTTTTTTTTTTTTTTAAATCCTGGTTTGGGGCCAGCAGGTGGCATAGAAGTTAAGGCACAGGGTCCCACATGGTTGGCTGCCCAATTCAAGTCCCAGACCTAGCGGCTTGAAAATCATACCAGACATGTGTGCTTGTGTGCCCAAAATCCTGAGAGGAGACTGAAGGAGAAGGGATTGTTGCTTGCCATCCCCCCAGGGGATGATTTCTCAGTCTCTCTCTCTCTCTCGTGTGTGTATCAGTGTGTTTATTTTTCTGCCAGAGGGCACATGTGCTCTGCTGAAGAAGGAGAAGGAGAAAGTGAGACATTATTTCCTCACTCCCCCAATAATGGGGAATAGTCACTCAATCCCTTCTCCTCCCTCTCTCTCCTTTCAGGATTTTGGGCCTGCACACATACATGCCTGACATGTTTCTCAGGCCAGGAGGTTTGGGACTCTAACTGCAAGTTGAGCCCTGTGGGATCTAGCTACCCCAACCATCACATCATGGGCTGGTCCTAAATCTTGTTTTAAATCATTCTTAATCTTATTATCCCAAAACAACCCTATTTATTATTTTTATGTATTTCCTTCTTTTTTATCTTTTATTTTTGTCATAATGGTGTTACTTTGGTGTATGTTTACTCTTTATAAATCTTGTTATCCTGTCTTTTTTCACTTAATACTATATTGTGAGCAGTTTTTTTTGTCACTAAGACATCATAGTATTTGTTTGTTTGTTTATTAAGTCTCAACATTTATTAACCATTCCCCTCTTCTGAAATATTTGCAAGATTTCTGATTTTTGCTATTATAAATAATGAATACATTAACATTTGTTATTACTCTATGAAAACAGATTTCTACAAGTAAAATTACTACATCAAAGGGATAACCATCTTTAAGACTCTGATAATATTTCTTTTTTTTGTTTTATGAGAGTTTGTTTTTTTGTTTGTTTGTTTTTGGTTTTTGTTTTTTGTTTTTGCTATAGGGCACATGCGCTCTCCAGGAAAACAGAGAGAGACAGCAGAAATAGAAAACAAGAAATCACCCCTGGGGGCGGGGGGATGATCGCACCTCATTCCCTTCTCCTCCATTCTCCTCTCTGGATCTTGGGCATGCACACACACATGCCCAGCGTGAGTTTAAGCCACCAGGTCTGGGACTCAAACCATGGTCGGCTACAAGGGAGTCCAGCAACATAGCCATTACACCAATTACTGGTCCCTCTCTGATAATATTTCTAAAGTGGTTTTCAACATGGTTGTGCCTGCCAGTTTATACTGTAACTACGGGAAATGAGAACCTGCCTCAGGGAACTCTCACCAACATTTTGAAATCCTTACTACTTTGACAGGTGATAATTTTTTATTTCATTTCTGTAATTTCTATTGTGAGGTGCACTCACTTTTTTATTGTGATAAAAAACAGAACATGAGATCTTACCTGCTTAACAGATTTTTAAATGTACAGTTTAATCTCATTAATTATACACACAATGTTATAAAGCAGCCTTCTAGAGCTTTTTCATCTTGTATGACTGAATCTTTCTAAGCATTGAATACCAACTTCCCACTTCTCCCTCTTTCAAGCCCTTGACAACC